GGTAGTCAGGGAAGGCCTCTCTGAAGAGGTGACATTTGAGCAAACACTTGAAGGAGGCGAAGGAGTGGGCCATGAGGAGAACTTAAGAGTGTTCCAGGCAGAGGGAACAGCAAGTGCAAACACCCTGAGGTGGTCATATGCTTGGTGTGTTGGAGGTACAACAAGGAGACGGGTGTGGCTGCAGTACAGTGAGGGACAGGACAGAAAGACGGGCAAGGACCACATCATGTAGGCCCTTGTGGTCAGTGATACGGACTTTGGGTTCTGTTCCAGGTGGATGGGAGCCATGAGGTGAAAAGACCACTCTGGGGACTGTGTTGGAATTCACTGGAGAAGGTTGCTGGGTGACTGGCTATGGATTGCAGGAGTCCAGGTGACAGATGATGGTGGCCTGAATGAGGGTGGGAGCAGAAGAGGTGCCGAGAAGGGCTTGGGTTCTGGATACATTTGGAAGGTTGAGCTGCAGACTTTTCTGATGGACCGGCCCCTCAGAACCAGGGGGGAACCATTGTATAACAAAGGTGAAGGTGGCATGCTCAACTTCACTGCTGCCCACTACCTTTCCTTCTGCTGTACAATAAGCCTGAGAAGATGGGAACAGGGTCTCTTGTATTTGCCAATGTGCCCCTCATGCTCAGTATAGAGTCTGGCACTGTAAAAATGGTGTGGTGGGGGCATCTGACCTCCTCTAAATTCACAACGGGGAAGGAGAATCAAGATCAACAGCCCAAGGTTGATTCCTGTAAGGCGAAGGTCAGACATATCTCCTCTCTCTGCCATCTTCACCAATTCTGACACCAACTGTCCCTCCCATGGCACTCTCTACTTATTTGCTGGGTTCAATAATTCGTCACAATGACCACACAGAACTCCACAGACAATACTCATGATTGTGGGGTTTATCAGGGAAGTAACAGGTTACAATTCACGTTCAGGAAGGCTCAGGATAGCCTCTTCCATCAGGATAGCCTCTTCTCAGCTGTGCCCGCAGACAGGCCTCTCTCTGCCCTTGGCCTCTGCCTTGCTCGGGCAAGTGTTACAAAGCTCTTTTAGCTCAGCTAGTAAGTGCCCAGAGGCACCCTACTCTGCCAGTAAGCCTCAGCCCAAAGGTGCTCAGTTCTAGCTCCACCAAGTACCTGGAGGCACCCTACTCCATCAGCTAGCCTCCTGCCCAAAGGCGCCCAGTTTTTTCGCTCAGTGGGCCAGGAAGCCCACCTTGCCATCTCTGGCCGGTCTCCTGCCTCTGTTTCCACTTTTTTCTGTGGCCACTTCTCACCATCTTCAATGTCATAACTCTTTCTCTCAGTCTCCTGGTTCCAGGAGCTTCTCAGCACAGGGATCCTAGGTCCAAAGGATGCGCTCCACTCCTTGCTCTTCTTTCTTGCTGGTGGTGAGATCCTCCCTTCCTGCCTCTGGGATGGATTATTTTAAGACTAGTGGGATGGCAAGACTGAACAATCCCCTTGTTAGGGTTCCATACACCTTATTTGCATAATCTTTCTCAAGCAGTGTGTGTGAGTCATAAAGACTACGGCTAGAAGGGCCAGATTAAGTAATTCATTGCACTGCAGGCACCAAGCAGGTGCTCAGCAAAGATGAGATGCCTCCACACCCGAGTTTAGAACTCCAAAGGCTGACACCTACATGCATGCCCTAGTTCCACACCTCACAAGTCCTGCTTCCTGGAGGCAGCAAGATGTCAGGTGAGAGCTCTGCACCAGGAGTCTGGAAATCTGGCCACTTTATTCATTCATTCAATTATTCATCAATCTTTCATTCATTCACGTGGCAGGCCCTGTGCTGGTTCTATGGGGAACCAGAGGTGAACATGACACAAGCCCTGCTTCAAGTGGTTCCCTTTTCACATGGGGGAGAAATGAGAGTCTTGTCGATCTGATCAGGGACTGCCCAGAGGAGGAGGTGGCTTAACTTACCCAGGGTCCCGGAACCCATCGCCTGGCAGGTTGCTAGACGGGCGTGTTGGAAATTATGGCTAGAAGAGGGGGTGGGCAGCAGACTGGTCATACAGAGTCTTGGGAATGTTGGAGTTTGGGAGCAGGTGAGGCTGACTGAGGGTCCTACCTGGACTGCTCCTCTTGGCGCTTAGTCTAGTGGACCTGTGATCTTCTCTGAACCCATTTCCCCATCTGTACACCGGTGATTTGTGAGGCAGTAGAGCATAGTGGTCAGAACGTTACTCTGGAAATAAATTGCTTGGGTTTGTTTGGAAATGCTGCTTAGCAACTGTGTAGCCTTTTGCCCAACCTCTCTGTGCCTGGCTTGTCTCACTGTTAAATGGGGATAATCAGGTTTGTGTAAGTCTTATGGAGTCCCTGGGTGGCACAAATCGTGAAGTGCTCGACTAATAACTGAAAGGTTGACGGTTTGAACCTACCCAGAGGCACCTCAGAAGAAAGTCCTGGTGGTCTGCTTCCAAAAGATCACAGCCATGAAAACCCTATGGAGCACAGTTCTACTCTGCACACATGGGGTTGCTATGAGTCAAAATCGACTTGATGGCGACTGGTTTGGTTTTGGGGTTTTTTAAAGGCTTACATGAGAGAATGCGCATAAAGCACTGGAAACAGCATATCTCTGTGACTAATAAATGTCATCTATTATTGTCTCTGGGCCCCCGCGTCCCCACGGCCCTGTGAGTCATCCAGAAATAGCTCCTTGGTGATCCAGACTCAAGAGTAAGGCAGGGGTGTGGTCACCTCTGGTAGAGGGAGGGGGCCTGGGGCTGAGAGAGGGCAGGGAGCTGGCCCACCACCTGGGCTAGCCCCAATCCAGCCACCCAGTGCAGGTTGTGAGGGACAGCTACTCAGGACACAGGTGACCAGCTCAGTACAGAGGTGGCTCTGTGCTAGGCACTTGGGTCCTGCTCTGTGGCCTTGGGCAAGTCTTCACCTCTCAAGCTCCCGTTTCTCATCTGTAAGAGGGGGGTCCGTGTTTCTCACCCAGGGTGCCATGGGCACTGTGGGCAGACTGTCCTACCAATTATAGGACACTTACCGTCTCTGACCCCATAAAGGAGCCCTGGTGGCACAGTGGTTAAGAGTTCAGCTGCTAACCAAAAGGTCGGCAGTTCGAACCCACTGGCCGCTCCTTGGAAACCCTTTGGGGCAGTTCTACTTTGTCCTGTAGGGTCACTATGAGTCAGAATTGACTCAATGGCAATGAGGTTTTTTTTTTTTTTGGCCCCATAAAAACCAGTAGGATCGGCCCCAGCTCCAGCTCCTAGAGGGAGGGAGTATCAAGCCTAGTTGAGAATCACTGCAGCCCCTCCCTTCCTTGTATCTGATGGGGACTGCTGGGGAGGGCCAGGGATGCCAGGGACCCTTGGCTGGGAAGGGTTCCAAGAGGAGCCAGGTGGCGAGGAGGAGGGCCAGGGGCCTTGCATCCATCTGGGAGACTTTGAGCATCACGGAGAGCCCCATTTTCAGAAAATCCACTGTGTAAATTCCCAAGCTCAGACACAGCCCTAAGGGGACAATTTACCTTGAGCCTTCCCGCAAACCAACGCCCCTCAGCATCTGGGGGTGCATTTTAAAGCCAGAGTGGCAACTTATGGGTGTGGTGAGAGAAGACTAACAGCCCACGGTCTGGACTCCTTGCTCTGCTGGGAGGCCTCCTCTGTACTGTGGGAAAACCTGCCCCAGACATCAGTGGACTCTCAGAAGTTTGCTTGCAGGTCTGAAGACAGAGCTGCCAGCCCAGGGGGCCCAGCACTCCAAGGCGGGCAACTCTCAGTTATGATTTAAATTATTTAATCATGACTTGTTAATTAACAGCTCATTTACCGAGCACCAGCCCAGTCAGACACCTGGGCTCAAACCCCACTTACTTGCTGTGTGACCTTGGGCAAGTGGCTTAGCCTCTCTGGGCTTCAGTTTCTTCGTCTGTAAAATGTGGCTGGTGCTGAATGCCAGATATTAAAATCACATCTGGAAAATGAGGCTAGGAAAACCCCTGGATTGAGTTGTTGCTGGACCACTCTGGGTCTCAATTTCCACCTCTGCCCAATGGGTGCAGAGTCTGGCTCACAGAGATGTTTGGAGGTTTAAACAAATAATGCACATAAAGTGTCCAGCACAGAGTGGCCCTGAGGAAGAAAAACCCACGGTGACAATGGTCCCCACATCCCTGGGTGACTAGAGGATTAAATGAGGTGACACCTGTGAACTGTCTTGTGCTGGCCCTAAATGAATATTAGTTTTTGCTTCCTTTCTCCCCAGCAAGAGACTTTCGGGAGGGCGGGAGATAAATTGGCTGGCTGCTTGAAGGCAGGGCAGGTCCCCAGCCCAGTGCTGGCTCAGGGGCTCCTGCGGGAGGGGTGGAGGGAATTGACGGCATTGACATTGTGAGAAGCTGTGCCAGGCAGGAAGACAAGCATCCCCAATGGAAGGGACACTGGGGCAAGAGCGACTGGTTTATAGGCACTTGGTTGTTGTTAGTTGCCATTGAGTCGCCTTTGGCTTGTGGCGACCTTGTGCGCAGTAGAAAGAATTGCTGCCTGGTCCTGAGCCATCTTTGTGATCATTGGTATGTTTGAGCCCATTGTTGCTGCTATCATGTCAGTCCATTTCCCGGAGGCTTTCCCTTGTTTTTGCTGAGCCTCAACTTTACTAAACATGATGTCCTTTTCCAGTGAAAAGGAGACACATGCACCCCATTTACTCCAGTTCTGCCTGTGGGTGCAGCATCGGGGAGGTGGTCAGGCTCTGAAACCTCTGCTACGCTTGGAGCCCAGGGAGGCAGGTGGAGGTGAGAAAGTGGGGTCCCGAGCTCTGCTGTTTGCCAGCTTGGGCGAGCCGTTCAGACTGCTTCCGTCCTCTGTGAACTGGGCTCGGTGCTAGTTTCCAAGCAAAGCTCCCTGGGGTCGCTATCCTCCTCCCTAAAAGGCAGGGCACTGCCTAACTTACGTGCATGTCTGGTGTTCCGTGAAGGCTGCTTTGCAAATGCCAGCCTGTTTCCAACCTCAGTCTGTTTCCCCCAGGATGCCCAGGGCTGAGGCCCCCCACGCAGCTGGCGGGCAGAGCGATGGAGGCGATGGCGAGGAGGCAGAGCCGGAGGGGATGTTCAAGTTTGCCTCGGACTCTAGGAGGAAAATTCGGGACTACCTCCGCCTGGCGCCCCTGTGGCTGGCCCTGGTCGTGCTGGCTTCAGTGGGGGTCCTGCTCTGGTATTTCCTAGGTAACCACGGAGGCCTGCCGGGAGATGTACCTGGGGAGGGCTTGGGGTGGCCTTGGGGGCACAGCAGGATGGACCAGGATTCTAGGCTCAGCAACGCCTAGCAAAGCCTGTGCAACCTTGGACAAGTCACTTTGCCTCTCTGAGCTACAGTCCTACTTTCCAGGTCCTGTGGCTCAGCTTCGTTCCCTGCTTCGGCCAATTGTGAATTGAACCCAAGACCCCGTTCTTGTGAATCGACAAACCAAAGGGAGTGTAAACACTGCCTTCCCTTGCCCTCAGCCCTCCTGGGTTGCCCCTGGGGCACCCCTGGGGCTCTAAGCCAGCCCATCCCTCCTGGCGGAAGCCCATGGCACCGGGGTGCCAAGGTACCAATTAGTAACTCTGCTCACTTGAGCTCAGCCTGGTGCTTCTCTAGGGCGGGGACCACAGCTCTGTCACTTCTGTGTTTCCAGGCCCCAGCGCTAATGGGAGACTAGTGGGGGGACACAGGATTCAGGCCTCCAGAGGGGTCTTTCATGCCCCAGTGTGGGCACATGAGGATTCAACAAACAGGGAAAGGTGGGCTTGGAGTTGGAGAGCTTGGGGCCTCTCCCATGTCCTTAACTTTGGCCCTCTCTCCCCGCTATCACAGCCTCAATCTGTCCCCTGGAGCCCCAGGAGCAACTGGCCCGTGCTCTGGACCCATTCATTCATCCATCCTTCCAAATTCAACATTCGTTGAGCACCTACTACGTCTCACTCTAAAACCGATAGAGACTGCGTCTTATTCCTTCAATTCTTGGTGATGGACAGTAGTGGAGAAACAAAATTAGCTGGTGCCTGTAAAAACGCTCCCTGTACTCTGGAAGACTCATTCATTCATTCAGTCCAGAGCACCTCCTGTGTACCAGGCTTGTTGTCAGGCTCTGCCCCCGCCCTCACGACTTAGCTGCAGAGTCAGACACAATAGTTATTGTAACGCATGGCTTATGTTAAGATAGAGGAACACCAGGTGGGGCATGGGAGCCTGTGGCAGGGACAACACCCCTAGCCTAAGTGATCAGAGACTTCTCAGTAAACATTCTGCAAAAGTTAGACAGCATTTCCACTGGCTAAATCTCATGGAGGGATTTCAGGCCCACTGAAAAGAACTGAGGGCATACATTTTGGAGCAGCCATCAGGGAGATCCGCCTAGACCCAGATCCAGAGGGGTTGGCATGCAGGTGGGCTGGAACTGGCCTCTGGGGGGACACTGTCAGGAACCTTAGGTTTGGTGCGGGCCTGCTAGCAAGGCCTCATAGGGTGGATTGTGACTGCACAAAGCTGAGCAGGATGTGACAGGAGTAGAAGCCGTGCGTACTTCATGACTGGCAGGAAGCCAGAAGCCAATGCCCCAGATAGTGTCGGGGGCTGCTGCGGCCTCCTTAGGCAGTGAAATAATTAGTCTTCAGGGTAAACCACAGAGCAGCAGGGTGGACGGCAGGAACCCGCCTGCCAATTGTCTTTCTTTGCAGGGAGACATTCTTCCTGATTGCGCTCCTGGTGTGAATCCCTCCCCGCCAGGAGGGGTGCCCCATGGGCCTAGGACCCTGGGGTGTGTGCTCCTAAACCTTAGCTGGGGGAAGCCAGCCAACCCCCCTCCCAAGTGACTGAGGGTGGAGGGGCACTCCGGGAGGTGCTGATCCTCCCACCCTGGTCCAGGCTTTGCGCGGGGTGCGCGCTGGGCACTGGGTGTGGAGATGAGTGGACGCATGCCTGCCCTCAGGGAGCTCCCAGTCTGGAGTGGAGATGAACAAGCAGCCTGATGGCGGGAGCAGGAGGAGCCCAAAGTGAGGAGCCAACAACTGGGCTTGAGAGGCAGCCCTGCCCAGGAGAGGGAGGAGCTGGCTGGCTTCCCAAGGCGCTTGGTGCTCAGGCCAGCGCGGGCCCCTAATGCTGCCACCACCACTCACACTGCCTTCCCTGGTCCTTCCCTCTCACTCTTCCTGACAGAGACATTTCATGCTTCCCTCTCCCACCTCCAGCACCTCCGTCTCCCTCCTCACTCTCCCTTTGCCTCCTGCTTCAATAAAGACATTGAACCACTCGGAAGAGAAGCCCCAGAGACACCGCCACACACCCTCCAGCTGCCCCCATGTCCTTGCAGGGGAATCATCCCTGCCTGCCCTAAGCTGGCCTCAACCAGGCACCGGGTCCCAGCCCCTCTGCACCCCGTGTGATGGCCTGGCCCCAGCACCTCACCAGTCCTCACACGCTCATTGCTCCCACCACCAGCGTCCTTCTCCAGCCACCCCTCACTCCTTTTCTCCCCTTGGCAATGAACCCTTCAAAAGCTGTGTCCCTGCTGCTGCCTCCAGTTCCATCCCCTAGTCTCTCTGGGACCTCCCCAACCTGGCTGTCACTCCACAATTCCAACCGCCCTTGGCAAGGTCACCAGACACCATGTTGCTAAATCCAAAGGCCAGTTCCAGGTCCTCATGCATCTGACCCACAGCACACTGGACTCTGTTCAACCCTCCGCCTCAAAACCCTGTCCTCCCTCCACTCCTGGGCTCACATGGTTTCAGTTCCTCTGAATGTCTCTGCTGCTGGAGGCTTCTCCCTCTGCTTGTGATCTCTTCTAGTCCCTCGGGCTTTATTTAACTGTATTTTATGCGTTGAGGACTCCCGAATTTGCATTTCCAGCCAGGGCTTCTCCCCTGAGCTCCAGACACTATAGCTGGTGTCCCTTCTCCTCTAGAGGTCGAAGGGGCATCTCAGATCCTACATGTTCAGGTTGCAACTCTCATTCCCCAAACCTGTGCCTCCCAACCTTCCAGATCTCAGGTGGGGCCATTTCATCTTTCAGTTGCTCCTCCCTCACCTCTCTCTTCCTCCTATATCAGATAACCAGTTGCCCTTGAGTCATCTCCAACTCATGACAGCCCCATATGTGTCAGAGTAGGGTTTTCAACGGCTGATTTTTCAGAAGGAGATCACCAGGCCTTTCTTCCAAGGTGCCTCTGGGTAGAGTCGAACCTCCAACCTTTCAGTTAGCGGCTGAGAGCATTAACCGTTTATACCACATGAGGACTACTCTCTCCTATATACCACCCCCAGTTTGCCAGCAACCTGATCATCTCTAACTCCAAAGTATATCCAGAATCCAATCACTTCTTGTCCTCTCTACAACTGCAGCTTCATCCAGGCCTCTGTCACCCTGTCACCCCTCACCTGGACAACTGAAGTGGCCTCTTCACTGGTTTCCCTGCTTCTGCCCTTGCTGCCTTCAAGTCTATTCTCAACACAATAGCAGAGAAATCGTTTTATAAAGTAAATCAAATAAATAAAACCTCCCATGGCTCCTGTCTCTCTCAGAGTGAAAACCATAGTCCCCCAGGGGTTACAAGGCCTTACATCACCTCCCCAGTCTCCATCTCACCTCCTCCTTGCTCACTCTTACGCCAGGCAAGCTTGTGCCTCAGGGCCTTTGCACTTGCTGGTCCCGGGTACACATACACGTGGCTGGCTCTGTCACTTTTTTCCCTGGCCTCCGTATTTATAATTGCAACCTACTCCCAGCCCCTGATTCCAACAGCACTTATCACCTCTTATAGGTAATATTCTGTGTTTGTTCTTTATTATCTATCTTCCTTGTTTGACTATAAGCTCTTAAGGGCAGGGTTTTTTTCTTTTTTTCCTTTGTTGTTTTGTTCACTGTTATACTGGTATAGTCTCAAGTGCTTCAGATCAGTACCTGCATATAATAAGTTGTCAACGAATACATGTTGAATGAATGGATCATTGAATGGATAGGGTATAAACCCAAGGCTATGAATCCATCCTGTGTACATCAGCCAAAACCGAGCTTTACAAAATGGAAATCTGATGATGTTACCCCTAATTTTAATTCTTTCATGGTTTCCCTTGCTCAAAAATCCTATCGTAAGGGCCTGCCCAACCCAGCCCAATGTCTTGCTGCACCCCTCTCTCTGATTGCTCCAACCAAACAGGTCGTTAGCCCCTCATCCTCCCAGTGACCCTTCTTCTGCCTCAGGACCTTTGCACATGCTGTTCCCTCTGTGGAAGGTACTTCTTTCCCTCTCCTTTTCCCAATTTACTTTCTCAGTCCTCATACCTCAGCTCAAAGGTCACCCCAGTCCAGGACAGGTTCCTTTCATGTCCTCTCAGTAGAAACTTGTGCTTCTCTGGATGGCACTTCTACAAGCTGTGGGATTGTAGGAGTCAAACCTGTCTTCCCCACCACTGCTGGCTCCATGAGGGGACACTCGTTTGTGTGGTTTACTAGTGAATCCCTACATAGTAGGCACTTAGCAGACCCTTGTGGAATCCCTGGACAACGTGGTGAGGGAAGGTTGCATAGAGGGGCTAACCCATGATCTTGACCTCTTTGAGCCCATGTGGGTTTCTGGCCTTCAAGTCATCTGTGTCTTGGACCAGGCAATGGGTCAGGCTTTGGGACACCATCCATCTGGGGACCCCTCTCCTCTCTGGCAGCTTGGGGCGAGTTTGTCACCAAATAAACTTCAGATGATAATGAAAAAGATGATGATGGTGCCTTGGAGGCCCAAGACTCTGAGGCCGAGCTGAGGGTTTGGGGTGGCAGGAGAAGCCATGGGGACAGGAGCCCTCCCCATCTGTTCCCTTGGTTAACCCTGCTGGCTCCTTCCCGGCAGGGTACAGGGCGGAGGTGACGGTCAGCCAGGTGTACTCAGGCAGCCTCCGCGTGCTCAATCGCCGCTTCTCCCAGGACCTTGCCCGCCGGGAGTCCAGTGCCTTCCGCAGTGAAACAGCCAAAGCCCAGAAGATGGTAGGGAAGGACGGCGGGGCTGGGAGGTGGGCAGGAGGGAGAGGCTAGGAAGAGATGGCAAGAAGGGAGAGGGGACTGACCACGCCAAACCAATTGCTCAATCCCGTCCAGAACGCTCACTGGAAGCATGGCCCTGTTCTAGGCATGACGGAGGTGATATTGAGGAGGAGGATGTGGTACAGGGTGGAAAGTTAATGGACTCCGGGGTCAAAGCCACTTGAATTAAATCCTACCTGTGTTATTTGAAGCCCTGGTGGCGTAGTGGTTAAGAGCTTGGCTGCTAACCAAAAGGTCGGCAGTTCGAATCCACCAGCCACTTCTTGGAAAGACTAGGAGGACAGTTCTACTCTGTCCTTACAGTGTCTCTATAAGTTGGAAATGACTTGACAGCAATGAGTTTGGTTTGTGCTATTTACAAGCAGCATGACCTTAGGAAAGTTAGCTCAGGGTAGTCAAGGCTGTGAGGACTCCACCCACATCCCTGGGCACTCACCTTCCCTACATGGTGATGGCGACTTTGCTGGAGAGGGCTTCCTGCCACTCACAGCCACAGGGCCACGCTCTGCCCAGCAGGGCAGGGCAGACCAGAAGGGCTGGGAGCTAATGTGCCCAGGAACAACTCTCAACCAATGAGAGATGGGAGCTGGTGGATAAATACCCCAGGTTCATTCACCCTTGGGGTAGAGGGCAATTCTGAGGGTGCTCCACATCATCTCCCAGGGGCCCCGTTGGGTTGAGCCTCAGCTGCCCACAGCCCTAACCTGCTGCCCTCCCTTCCCCACTCTCCAATCAGTGTTTCCTGGAACCACCTCCAAATAAGCTCTAACCCACTGGCTTCACATCCTTGACTCAGGGTCTGATTCTGGGGGACCCAGCATAAGGCTTTCTGCTTCCTCATCTGTAAGCTGGAGGTGATGGTAACAGTACCTGCGTTGTAGGGTTGGGGTGAAATGTGATAATGTGGGTGTCATTGCTATACGTTTAAAGAGCTTTATGAACACATATTACCATCTGATCCTGCCATCAGTACTATAGTTGATGTGCACGAACCACCCAGCAGAGCTCCGGGTCAGGGCAGGCTGCTGTGCCTGAGGCCACTGCAGGGAGGCGAGGAAGGGCACTCTGGAGAAGAGTGGGCTTTTCAGAGTTGACGAGTGGCTTTCAAACAAGAGGAGAGAAGGCCACTAGTGTTCGGGTGGAAGTGAGAGTTAGGGCAGGGCAGTGCCTGGCTGTGGCGGGGAGGGGACAAAAAGGTGGAATTGGCTCTGAGATTGGTGCCCTGGCTCGGCCACTGACCACCGTGTGACCACAGGAGAGCCTTCCCATCCCTATGGGCTTTTGCAGGCTCCTCTGTCAAGCAGGGCTGCCAGGAGGAGCAAGGGGCACCCAGGTAGAAAGGTACTTGGGGCTGTCTGCCCTGGGGAGGTTCACAATGGAGGTGGTTGTTCTCCCTCCTCACAGCTCCAGGACCTCATTGCCAGCACCCGCCTGGGTCCTTACTACAACTCCAGCTCCGTCTACTCCTTTGGGTGAGTTGCCCCCGGCCCCCTACCCTGCCCCCTGCTAGAGCCTCGGACTCAAAAAGTGGGGAGTGCCCTGTAGACTTCTGATGCAATGCCTTCATTTAGAAATGGGGAAACTGAGGCATGGTTAGGGGATTTGGCTTCTTGTGTATGGTTTCCGTTCGTCGAGCTTGGTTTCCTCATCTCAGCAATGAGAAACACGTTAGATCGTGGACATAACGTGCTTATCAAGGGGCTGGCACATATTAGCTGAGGCCATGGGCATGGTGATTAAGAGCATGGGCCCTGGGGCCCAGCCACTGTGTTCATACCCCAGATCTGCTGCTTACAATGTGAGCTATGTGCCTCAGTTTCCTCACCTGTAAAATGGGCCTGATGAAAGCACCTCCCTCAGATGTTGCTGGGAGGTTTCCGGGTAAAGACTGAGAACAATGCCCGGGACATAGTAAGCGCTCAATAAGCCTGAGCCACAGTTGGTTTTCTCCCACAGGAGCAGGGGCTGGGCAAGGGCCAGACTTCCAGCTCCTTCCTCGGCCCCTCTCACTTCTACCTGTCTTAGGGAGGGACCCTTCACCTGCTTCTTCTGGTTCATCCTCCAAATCCCCGAGCACCGCCGGCTGATGCTGAGCCCTGAGGTGGTACAGGCGCTGCTGGTGGAGGAACTGCTGTCCACAGTCAACAGCTCAGCTGCTGCGCCCTACAGGGCCGAGTACGAGGTGGACACCAAGGGCCTGGTGATCCTGGGTGAGTACTGGGGAAGGAGAAAGGCAGTCGGCCTAGTGTGGCCAGGGAGTCAGGCTGGTGGCAAGGCCTGGGGATGCCACCAGGGCCCCGGATGCTGTTAGGGTGGATCCCTGAGTCTGAGTGGCCCAGGAGTCAGGGCAGAGGGGTGTTGGGGACTGGGGGGGGACTCAGTAAATCTCAGACAAGGCTGCCTCTGATGGTCTCCTTATTGAAATTTTTTTATTTTACTTTATTTATTTTTATTTGTTTTTGCTTTTTTTTTTTTTTTCCTTCTTCTTTTTAACAGAGGCCAGCGTGAAAGACATAGTTGCACTGAATTCCACTCTGGGTACGCTACTTTTTCTGTTGTCCTCCCACTTTCCTTTTGACTTGGTGCTTTTCTTGGCTGGTCAAGGGTCAGGGGCCATGCGGTTTCCATGGTTGGGTGCAGGTGGCCCTGGCCTGGACACACCTAGGAGTGCCACACTACGGGTCTGAGCTAGGCTTGGGCATGTGGGGGAGGGGAGGAGGTCCTGCACAAGTGTCCACGTGTGAGTGGGTTTTGTGTACATGGGTGTATATGTGTGCTGTGTGAGGGTGAGTAGTGACTTTATTGTTGTTGTTAGGTGCCACCAAGTCAGTTCCAACTCATAGCGACCCTAGGTACAACAGAATAAAACACTGCCTGGTCCTGCGCCATTCTCACAATCATTGTTATGCTTGAGCCCATTGCTGCAGCCACTGTGTCAATCCATCTCACTGAGGGTCATCCTCTTTTTTGCTGACCCTCTACTTTACTAAGCATGATGTCCTTCTCCAGGGACTGGTCCCTCCTGATAACATGTCCAAAGTATGTGAGAAGTCTCTCCATGCTCACTTCCAAGGAGCATTCTTGTTGGACTTCTTTCAAGACAGATTTGTTCATTCTTTTGGCAGTCTATGGTATATTCAAGATTTTTTGCCAACACCATAATTCAAAGGAATCATTTCTTCTTCCATCTTCCTTATTCATTGTCCAGCTTTCGCATGCATATGAAAACCAAAAAACTTATTGCTGTCAAGTTAATTTCAACTCATAGCGACCCTATGAGAGAGTAGAACTCCCCACAGAGTTTCCAGGGAGCGGCTGATGGATGCAAACTGCCAACTCTTTGGTTAGCAGCGTTGGAAATACCACGGCTTGGGTCAGGCACCCTTAGTTCACAAAGTGACATCTTTGCTTTTTAACACTTTAAAGAGGCCTTTTGCAGTGAATTTGCCCAATGCAATGCGTCATTTGATTTCTTGACTGCTGCTTCCATGGGTGTTGATTGTGGATCCAAGTAAAATGAAATCCTTGACAGCTTCAATATTTTCTCTGTTTATCATGATGTTGCTTATTGGCCCAGTGTGAGGATTATCGTTTTCTTTATGCTGAAGTGTAATCCACACTGAAGGCTGTAGTCTGTGATCTTCATCAGTAAGTGTTTCAAGGCCTCTTCACTTTCAGCAAGAAAGTTTGTTGAAGTAACACAGGTTTTTAATGAGTCTTTCTCCAATCCTGATACAGCATTCTTCTACTTATTCAAATTATTTGCTCAGCATACAGATTGAAAAAGTATGGTGAAATGACACAACCCTGATGCACACCCTTCCTAATTTTAAACCACTCAGTATCCCCTTGTTCTGTTTGAACGACTGCCTCTTGGTCTATGTACAGGCTCTGCATGAGCACAGTTCTCATTCTTTGCAATGTTACCCAGAATTTGTTACGATCCACACAGTCGAATGCCTTTGCGTAAGTCAATAAAACACAGGTGAACATCTTTCTGGTATTCTCTGCTTTTAGCCAAGATCCATCTGACATCGGCAATGATATTCCTCGTTCCAGGTCCTCTTCTGAATCTGCCTTGAATTTCTGGCAGTTCTCTGTTGATGTAATGATGCAACCGCTTTTGAATGATCTTCAGCAAAATTTTACTTGCATGTGATATTAATGATATTGCTCGATAGTTTCTGCATTTTGTTGGATCCCTTTCTTTGGAATGGGTATACATATGGATCTCTTCCAGTCAGTTCACCAGGTAGCTGTCTTCCAGATTTCTTGGCATAGATGAGCGAACGCTTCCAGCGCTGCATCCATTTGTTGACACATCTCAATTGGTAGTCTGTTGATTCCTGGAGCCTTGTTTTTCGCCAGTGCCTTCAATGCAGCTTGGACTTCTTCCTTCAGTACCATCAGTTCTTGATCATATGCTACCTCCTGAAATAGTTGAACATTGATCAAATATTTTTTGTACAGTGACTCTGTGTATTCCTTCCATCTTCTTTTTGGTGTTTCTTGCGTCGTTCAATATTTTCCCCATAGAATCCTTCAATATTGCAACTCGAGGCTTGAATTTTTTCTTCAATTCTTTCAGCTTGAGAAATGCCAATCGTGTTCTTCTCTTTTGGTTTTCTAACTCCAGGTCTTTGCTCATTTCATTATAATATTTTACTTTGTCTTCTCAAGTTGCCCTTTGAAATCTCCTATTCAGCTCTTTTACTTCATCATTTCTCCCATTCACTTTAACTGCTCTGCTCTTCAAGAGCAAGTTTCAGAATCTCTTCTGGAATTCATTTTGGTCTTTTCTTTCTTTTCTGTCTTTCTAATGACCTTTTGCTTCTTCCTGTATGATGTCCTTTATGTCATCCCACAACTCGTCTGGTCTTCAGTCATCAGTATTCAATGCATCAAATTTATTCTTGAGATGGTCTCTAAATTCAGGTGGGATATACTCAAGATCGTGCTTTGGCTCTCATGGACTTGTTCTAATTTTCTTCAGCTTCAGCCTGAACTTGCATACGAGCAATTGATGATCTATTCCACAGCCGGCCCCTGGTCTCATTCTGACTGATGATATTGAGCTTCTCTATTGTTTCTTTCCACAGATGTATAGTCAATTTGACTCCTCTGTATTTCATCTAGCAAAGTCCATGTGTATAGTCACCATTTGTGTTGTTGAAAAAAGGTATTTGCAATGAATAGGTCTTTTGTCTTGCAAAATTTTGGTATGTGATCTCTGGTGTTGTTCTATCACCAAGGCCATATTTTCCAACTATCAATCCTTCTGTTTCCAACTTTTGAATTCCAATAACCAGTAATTATCAATGCATCTTGATTGCATGTTTGATCAATTTCAGATTGCAGGAGTTGGTAAAAATCTTCAATTTCTTCATGTTTGGCCTTAATGGTTGATGTATAAATCTGAATAATAGTCGTATTAACTGGTCTTCCTTGTAGGTATATGGATATTATCCTATCCCTGACAGTGTTGTACTTCAGGATAGATCTTGAAATGTTCTTTTTGATGATGAATGGTGCAGCAGGGTGGGTCCAGAAGGGGGGAAGGGTGGAGATGGGTAGTTTGCTGCATGAACTGAGGCCGACAGGGCAGTACAGGGCAGGGGCCAGGGGACCGCATCAGTGCTGCTCATGGGAGCAGTGCTCGGCACATGGTGAAGATAATCAGGAGGGAAGGGAGAGGATGTGATGTGTGAAGCTAAGTGGGTGAGTGAAAGAAGAGAGGAAAGCAAAAGCAAAAAAAAAAAAAAAAAAGCAAAAGAAAAAATGAAGGAAAAAGGAAAAAAAAATTAAATAAAATAGCAGTGTGGTAGGATTTGGCGAGTGGTGGTGCGGTAGACCCGGCAAGGCCATGTGCCAGTGGCTCTCTAGCTAAGCAGTTCTTCTGGCCTGCCAAGAAGGGATGTGGGCAGTGCACTGGGCGAGGTGGGCAGGAGAAAGGAAAGGAAAGAGGGGAAAGAGAGAGAAGAAACCAACCAACCAACAAACAAAAAGGAGATAAAATAAAATAACAACAACAAAAAATAAATAAATACAGTGGTGGGGGAGCCAGCCGTTGGGGATGGGGTGTAATTGAGGTGGCAGCAAGCTGATGTCTGTCTTGCCAGGAAGCACGGCACGTTCATCAGGAAGGGGTGGAGGCAGCACAGGGCCTAGGTGCGAGGGAGAAGAAAAAGGGAGAAGGGAAAAGATAAAGAAAAATAAAAAATATGGCACTGAGGTAGCCAGCCTGTGGAGGCAGCACAGATCTGGGGAGGCTGTGTACCAGCCGAGCAGTACAGCACAACCAGCCAAGAAGTGGGAGGGGAGGCGCATGGGTCTAGGTGGGTGGGAGAAAGGAAAGGAAGGAAGGGAGAAAGAAAGGAGAAACAACAACAACAAAAAAGAAAAACAAGCAAACGAAAATAAATAAATAAAATGGTGCTGAGGGAGCTTGTTTATGATGGCAGCACAGACCTGGGGAGGCCATGCACCAATGACTCTCCAGCTCAGAGATGCAGCATAGCCCTTCGAGAAGGGACGGGGGCAGCGCACAGGGCTAAGTGGGGGGGCGGGAGTGGAGAAAGGGAAGGAAGGAAAGGTGAGAGACAGAAGAAACAAAAAAAGAAATTAAAAATAAAGAACAAAGCAAACAAACCAAAAAATATGACGCTGAGTGAGCCAGTTAGTAAGGGTAATGCAGACCCGGGGAGGCCATGTGCCAGTGGCCCTCCCAGCCAAGTGGTGCAGCAAAGCCCATCAAGAAGGGGCGGGGACAGCACATGGGGCCAGGTGGATGCGAGAAAGGAAAGGAAGGAAGGGAGAGAGAAGCAATTAAAAAAGCCCTCAAAAAACAATAACAAAAAACAAACAAACAAAAAATGGTGCTGAAGGGGCCAGCCTGTGGAGGTGGGGCGGACCTGGGTGGCAGTGAACTGGTGTCTCTCTGGCCAAGCAACAGTGGACCGTTGGACAGTGGCAAAGGCCACATAGAGGGAAGAAGGGAGGAGGTGAGAAATCGTGTATCTCTGGTTACCGGGTGTTCCGTCTCCTGTTGAGAGCTCCATGAAGTTGCCTTCCTATACTCCTGTCTGCGTTCCTGGGTGACTGTAGTCCAAGATGGTGAATCTGTATCATGTTAGCGGGTAGGGGACCTCCACTCCGTAGCTCTCCTCGTTCTCTGTTCTCTGTCAGGTTCTTACTTCATTTGATGCTTGAGAGAGTTTTTTTTCCCTTCATTTGATGCTTAGGGTTCCAGGATTGACGTTTGTATCTGTTTTACTTAGTTTTTCAGGTCTTTGCTGCAGAGGAATGGCATGGTGCTTTTGTCTACAGTGCCATGTTGGCTCCACCTCCTTGGGTAATTTTCTTATGACTGGGAAGATGCCTTTTCCTCTAGTCTGTGGTTTACAGCAGTGGTTCTCAAACTCTGAGGTTTGCAGGAACCTCCTGGAAAGTTTGTCAGAATGCAGAGCACACACCACTCCCACTCAGATTCCATTGGTGTAACTGGAGCACAGGAATCCAGATTTCAGTTAGAATCCCCAGGATGTGGTAGAGATGCAGGTGGGCCAGGTGCACCCCTAAGAAACACTTTTAGTAAAAACAAAGAAGCCAGCAAATCCCCTATGCTGGTCCTCCAAGCTTGGTTTGGGTGTGCAAAGCCTGGGAGTCCAGAGAAAACCTTCATTCCTCTCAAGAGCCTGGCTTCCCCAAGTGAAAACCTGGGTTTTTCATCATTTTCTCTGCTTTCAAATGTCTTCCTTTGAAGGTCACAGTCAAGCATGTTCTGACATCTGCTTTGCAATAATCCTTATTAGGTTTAGTTCACGCCTAGAGCCCCCATGCCCAATGCCCTGCCCTCCCAGATCACAGTCTAAGGGAGCAAGGATGAAAATTCAGATCCAAGAAGGAGACGTTTTGAATACTTCTTCTATGCCAAGCCCCACTCCTGCACTGGGGACACCCGTGTCCTCATTCCTTCCCTCATAGGAACTCCAAGCCCCATGGGTGACACAGATACATAAACAGATCCTCATCACACCAGTGCTAGTGCTAGAATAGAGGCCCCAGAGATGCTGGAGAGAGGGAACCATTCTGCCCCAGGGACAGAGCTGGACACCAGGGGTTTTATCCAAGGCAGAGAAGGGACATGCCTCTAGAGGACCAGCCCAGGAGTTGCTCCTGATTCAGGGATCCAGGAAGCCTTCATGGAAGAGGGGGTGTCAGACACAGGCCTGGGGTCAGGTAGGAATCTGCCTGATCCAGAAGGGGAAAAGGGCACTTTGGAAAGAGACAATGGCATGAGCAAAGGCCTGGAGAGGAAAACGTGCAAAATGCCAGATGCCACAAACGTGTGCCTGGCTAACCACAGAGACCAGAGCACTCCTCTCCACTTAATTAGCCTAAAATAGAAAGTAATCATTAAATCCTGATCAAAAGGGGGGAAATGCAGAGCAGAACTTCAAATTCTCATAGACTCTAGACTTTCTGGAGCCATGGAGGCTAGACGAACCCCTGAAACTATTTCTCTAAGATAATTCTTCAACCTTAAACCAAAAATGTCCCCCAAAGTCTTCTTAAAAGCAAACAATAGTTTAGCTTAACTAATAAGCAATGTCTGCCTTGAGCATTATGCTCTTTTAAGATCTAGCTATATGGAATCAAATTGACAACAGCAACTGGAAAGATTAGATACGAACCTTAGGGGGCAGTGAGTTTATATTAATGAGGTAGGAACAACTCAGAAAAGGAGAGTGAGAATGGTTGCACAACTCGAAGAATGTAATCAATGTCACTGAATTGTATGCAGAAACTGTTGAACTGGTGTGTGTTTTGCTGTGTATATTCTCAACAACAACAGCAACATAATAAACATTTTTTTAAAAAAGTAATCATTAAAATGGCAAAATCAAAGCATCAGTGTGGAGCAAGATTTAAAGAATATAACCACCTAGGAACAGTCAGGCACTTTGCCCCAGCTGCTGGCTGAGGCAGATGTCAGCAGCCCTGTCACTTCTCCAGGCAGGTGTCAGAGGTCTCTCCCTGGGGAGGTCAGCTCCCACTGGAGTCAGGACTGCCAGGGGTCAGGGAGAGGCAGTTAAGCAAAAGGTAGCAATATAGAGCAAAACATGTATACCTTTGTTCTCTTGTTGACCCTCTGAACCGCCCAGAGAAGAAGGTGGGACAGGGATTATTATTGTGTCCATTTGGCAGATCTCAGAGTGGCTAAGCAATTCCTGAGGAGCCACACAGCTGATGTGTGGTGGTGCTGGGACTAGTGCAGAGGGAGTGCACACCAGGCTGCCTCCCAGGTCTGGGATTCATTCCCACCTCCCTATCCCTTCCTGGCAGATCTGCCAACCTCCCTGCTTCTCAGGTTCATGACAAGGATTACATGAGATACTCTCTGCTCCACAGGAGAGGATATTTGTCTGTTTATTCATTGCTGGCCCCTGATGTCTGGATCAAGCACATAGTAGGTGCTCAATAACTATTTTGAATGAATGAATGGTGTAGGTGGTACTACTCCACACGTTCTAGCCCTTGCACACAAAGCTGATGGATTGAATGTAAGACAAGACGCACAGCTGATGTGCGGGGGTGTGGTCGTGTGGGCAAGTGTGTCTGGATGATGGAGAAGGAGGTGTGAAGTGGGGCAGCCAATGCGATTAGCTAGGTTTGAACCTCAAGCAGAGCCAGTCGAGGGGCGACAAGCCACAGGACTTTCTCCCCAGCTCCACTTTCTCCCTCTCTCCCATGGTCACCCAGAGAAGAATAGTCACTGCAGTTATTGAGCACCTACTGTGTGTCAGCCACTGTGTTGAGCACTCAAATATGCATCACCCCTAAGCCTTGTGACCACCCTGTAAAGTCAGTATTATCATCCCCATTCTACAGATGAGAAAACCAAGGCCCAGGAGAAATTAGGTGAAGCTGGGTCTGCCTGGCCCCAGGTCAGTAAAATGGGGACAAAGAGGGACACTATCTCACAGGGTGGTTGTGAGCATTAAACGAGAGGGCGTGTGTAAAGCACTCAGCCCAGTGCCCGGATGTATCAAATGCTCAGGAAGTGCAATTTGTTTTTGTCATTGTTTTATTATCATTAGCTCAAAATTCATGTCCCCTACCTTGGGCTGCCTCCAGACTCCTCTTAGATATTTTCCCTTTACACACCTGTCTTAGTCACCTAGTGCTTGTTGTTGTTAGGTGCCGTCGAGTCCATTCCAACTCATAGTGACCGTGTGTACAAGAGAACGAAACACTGCCTGGTCCTGTGCCATTCTCACGATCGTTGCTATGCTTGAGCCTATCGTTGCAGCCACTGTGTCAATTCATCTCGCTGAGGGTCTTCCTCTTTTTCACCAGCTCTCTACTTTACCAAACATGATGTCCTTCTCCAGGGACTGGTCCCAGATGATAACACGTCCAAAGTACAGTAATTTATTTTCTCACAGTAGTGGAGGCTAAAAGTCCAAATCAGCGTCTTGGCTGTGTGGATTTCTTTCTTCTAGTTTCTGGTGACTGCTGTCAATCCTTGATGTTCCTTGAAGCTCCTTGGGGGTCTTTGGCATTCTTCATTGTTCTTGGTGTTCCTTGGCATCTGTCTCCCCTCCGTGTGTGTCTATTTTGCTCTTTTTGTAACTCAGAAGTGATTAGAGGTTTAGGATTCACCCTACTCTGATATGACCTCATCAGGATTAACAACAACAACAAAAAAACTATTTCCAAACAGGGTCATATTTATAGGTACAAGGGTTAGGATTTTGATATGTATTTTGGGGAGACACAATTCAGTCCATAACATCACCTGAGGTGAAGCCCTCAACCCTTCTCACTCATTGCACTAGCTGCCTCGCTGGCCTCCCAGGAGTCTCTGTGTCTTGGTCATCTAGGGCTGCTATAATAGAAATACCATGAGTGGATGGCTTTCACAAAGAGAAATTTATTCTCTCACAGTCGAGTAGGCTAGAAGTCTAAATTCAGGGCGTCAGCTCAGGGCAAGTCTTTTTCTGCCAGCTCTAGAGGAAGGTCCTTGTCATCAATCTTCCCCAGTCAAGGAGCTTCTCTGCACAGGAACCCAGGGTCCAAAGGACACGCTCTGCTCCCGGGGCTGCTTTCTTGGTGGTATGAGGTCCCCCTGTCTCTCTGGTCACTTCTCTCTTTTATATCTCAAGAGAGATTGGCTTAAGACACTATCTAATCTTGTAGATCTCATCAATATAACTGCTGCTGATCCATCTCGTTAACATCGTAGTGATAGTATTTACAACACATAGGGAAATCACATCAGATGACAAAATGGTAGACAATCATACAGTACTGAGAATCATGACCTAGCCAAGTTGACAGATATTTTGGGAGGACACAATTCAATCCACGACACTCTAATCTGAAGCAGACCATGCCTCAGCCCGGTCTAAACTTCATGGCTCCCCAGGATAAAGCAGTGCCTCTTCTGGGCATGATCTGGGCCCTGCCTCCTTCCCCAGTATCATCTCTTGCTATTGAGACCTTGTCCTCAGAGTTCTCCTGCTTGCCCTGGCCTCTGGCCTTTGCCCCAGCTGTGACCCTAAGACTTCCCTAATCCACAGGTCAGTTTGGAGGTCTCACCTGCTGACCTAATATTGACTGTTTCTGTTTCCGTCTCCTGGCTGGTCCTCAGCATCCCCAGCAACTGGACTTTTATCTTGGCACTTGCCTGGCATGGAGTGTGTGTTAAGAGAATGAATGGTTGAACCAGTGAATTCTTGAATGAGGAGACTGGACCTGGAGAGCTACAGGGAAAAGAAGGGTGGGTCATAGCATGTGTGGACTGACCCTGGTCCAACTGCTGTCTCTGCCCCACCCCTGCCCAAGTGAGGCTCCTGCAGGGCCTGGCTCCCCAGGGCCTTTCCTCCCAGCTAACAGGGGTCAGGGGGCCTGTCCCTCTCCCCGCTCCAGGCTGCTACCGCTACAGCTACGTGGGCCAGGGCCAGGTGCTCCAGCTGAAGGGGCCCGACAACCTGGCCTCCAGCTGCCTATGGCACCTGCAGGGCCCCGAGGATCTCATACTCAAACTCCGGCTTGAGTGGATGCTGGCTGAGTGCCGGGACCGGCTGGCCATGTACGACGCGGCCGGGCCCCTGGAGAAGAGGCTTATCACCTCGTGAGTCCCAGGGAAGGTGGCATGGGGTGGGGGGAGGGCTGGGAAGTGGGTGAGCCATGTGGGGTCAAAGATCAGATCCAGCATTCTAAAACAAGGAGCTATGTGACCTTGGACCTGGGTATCTGGGAAAGAGTGTTACTAGCTTCCACAGAGGAGACTGGAAATGGCTGTGCTGTGGGCCTTCTTGAGCCTGTTTACCCATCTGTAGTAAAGCAATTGTACTAGGGGACAAGCCCTGATGGTGTAATGGTTAAGAGCTGGGCTGCTAACCAAAAGGTTGGCAGTTTGAATCCACCAGCTGCTCCTTGGAAACCCTATGGGGCAGTTCTACTCTGTCCTATAGGGTCGCTGTGAGTCGGAATCGACTCGACGGCAAGGGGTTTGGTGTTTGGTAAGGTCAGCTCTGGGAGGCAACATGGCTTATGGGAATGTCTCAGAATCTGGCAGCTCTGACTTCCAAGCCCTGCTCTACTTCTTCCTAGCTGTGTACACTGTACCTCTCTGAGCCTCGGTTTCCTCACCCACAACACAGGTGTACAATCATGCTTGCCTTGCAGGGTTATTATGAGGATTAAAATCAGACCATCTGTGCCAATACCCTCACATATAGTGGATGCCCGTTATTATTATATATAACCTAGTTGGGGCTGAGTCACAAAGGGCTTTGAGTGCCAGGAGCAATTTGGACTTAAACACATAGTAAGTGGGAAGCTAGTGAAAGTTCTTGAGCAGAGGACTGGAGCTTTAGATTATGGGATGTTGTGGTAGAGTGCAGAAGTGACCAGGGTCAGAAGGCAGGTAGCAGGAAATTTTTGTTGTTGTTAGGTGCCGTCAGTTCGGTTCCGACTCCTAGAGACCCTATGCACCACAGAACGAAACACTGCCCGGTCCTGCGCCATCCTCACAATCGTTATGCTTGAGCCCATTGTTGGAGCCACTGTGTCAGTCCATCTTATTGAGGGTCTTCCTCTTTTTCTCTGACCCTCTACTTTACCAAGCATGACGTCCTTCTCCAAGGACTGATCCCTCCTGACAAAATGTCCAAAGTATGTAACACGTAGTTTCACCATCCTTCCTTCTAAGGAGCATTCTGGTTGCACTTCTTCCCAGGTAGTAAGGGGAGGGGAGTGGAAATAGCTTCGAGACTCCAGGAGCCTGGTCACATCCCCCCAGGATTCAGGGAGGAGTAGTCACTTCCCCACAGGTCTGGGGAGGAGTGCTGAGCTTAAAGGGCACTGTAGGAGGTGGGGGAAGATACTCTGGGGCAGCAGCCCTCTGGGTAATCCTTGATTGAGCACTTAACTTTGCGCCAGCCTCCTCTGTCCTGTTTGGGACCGGCCCAGCTTCTGGGTGGGTAGGGAGATGATCTGTGTGTTCAGATCAAGACCAGTGTGTTCAGATCAAGATCTTGAGGTGGATCTGGGTGAAGGCTCCTGCCCCTGCTGCTCCTACAGGGCTTCCAGGCTACACACTTATTTGGCACCACTGTGGGTGACCTCATTTTGGGCCGTGCATGGGCTGCATTCCCAGAGGGCTCTTGGAAGTGCAGAGAAGCTAGATACCATCAGATCTCCAGGCCCGGGAGGGCGGGGGCACATATGGGCTTCCCCTGGGGCTTCTCCCTGTGGCCCCAGCCTGCTGTTGAGGAGGGAACCTGGCTGCCAAGCGCAGCTTGGCCCCTACTCACCTGGGACTGGGGCTGCTCCTCCCCATCTCTGATCCTCAGAGAAGATATAAAATCCCAAGGTCAGACAAGAGCAGCGTCCTCAAACCTGCACCCCAGAGCCTCTGGTCTTTGGTGGTGACGGGAAGACTGAGCAGGTGGGGCCCCTGTCCACCTTTAACCAGGTGGTTGGTTTCTATGTGTTCAGCACCCGGGGGTCTGCGAGATGTGTTATTTGCAACAAGGGCTCTGCTGCTAAGTAAATACAATAGGATAAAACTCCAACAATAAAAGTTGAAGCCCCCATTTAAGGTGACTTCCAGGTCTCTCTTGGCCTTGATAGCTTACCTCCCTTCTCCAGGGGGAGATGAGCTGGGAGGGTGTGGGCGTGTGGGGGATGGAGGGAGACACTGGTCCCAGGGGTTTCGGGCACTGCGGTAGGAAAAACAAGCCAGCAGGGGTAAAATCAGGATGAAGGAAACCAGGAACTGGGGCTGCGCAGGCAGCCATGGTGATGGGAGGGATCAGGAAAGAGGTTGTCTCCCTCTCCTGGAGGAGCTGGGGCAGGAGGCCCTGGAAAATGCCCACCCTTTAGCACCGGGACCAGCCTCAGGAGACCCCCTTGGGATTATTCACTCTTTCGCCAGGCTGCGGGGCGGTGAGGGGTGCCCACGTGTGGCAGGTTTGAGGGATCTTAGGCACCTTCATTGACACCACTCCTTCCCAGCAAGGTCCAGTGGCCGTGCCTAGTGGGCGTCTAGGAAAGTGCTGTTGGATGTTGGCTCGTCCCCTCTGGGGAGACAGGGTCATCACCTCCTGTGAATTGGTCTTTCGGTTTGGAAGGACTCTGGGAGTTCTGTCAGGGACAATGGGAAGTTAGATGGACGGTGGTGAGTGGGTGAAGGGAAAGCCTGGGGGCACCACCCCCTGAGATGGGCAGACTTAGGGGCACTGCCTCTTGAGAGGGGCAGACCTAGGGCACCACTCCCTGAGAGGGGCAGACCTAGGGCACCACTCCCTGAGAGGGGCAGACCTGGGGATCCACCTCCTGAGATGAGCAGACCTGGGGCATCACCCCCTTAGAGGGGCAGACGTGGGGTACCACCCCCTGAGATGAGCAGATCTGGGGACACTCCCTGAGACGAGCAGACCTGGGGACACCTACATATGTGGGAGGGCGCCAGGCACTGTCCCAGGCAGTGCTGAGCGCACCCCTATCTCTACCATGGGTTGGCAGTGGGGCCTTGGCAAGTGCCCAAGCCTCAGTTTCCCCATCTGTAAACTAAGCAAATTGACCTCAACAATCTGAAGAGTCTTTTGAAGGCTGACATTCTGGACTTGTAAAAGTCTAGAATTCTGTTGTAGTTAGGTGCTATCGACTCACTTCTGACTCACAGTGACCCTATTTACAACAGAAAGAAAGGCTGCCTGGTCCTGCGCCATGCTCACAATCATTGCCGTTTGAGCCCATCGTTGCAGCCATTGTGTCAATCCATCCCACTGAGGGTCTTCCTCTTTTTCGCTGACCTTCTGCTAGAATTCCAGAAGGTGTTATTTGTTCTGAGCACTAAGTTCTGGGTGGATTTCTGGTGCTCCCTGAGGCATCCCAGGGTCACCAGACCTTCCTTCTATCCTGGCCCAGGAAAAGGCCCCAGAGTCAGGGTGTGGTCAGCAGAGGGGATGGTCCCTACAGGTGCCACTCAGGTCTACCTGTTGGACACAGGCTATGGGACTGAAGCCAGCCACCATAGTTCAGTTGTGAGCTCCAGACATCTGGGTGATCTCTGGCCTCTCTTGACCTTTGGAGCTGGTCTGGCCCACAGAGGACACCCAGTCAGTCCCCTGGGGCTGAGAGAGGAGACCTGCCCACAAGCTGGTCAAGAACTGGGCCTGGACCCCAGGTGTACAGCCTCCCAGGCCACCCTCCTTCACTCCACCCTGACTGCTCACCCTCCCAGACCTTCCCAGACCCCGACACCCCATGTCACCCTTCTCTGTTCCTCCAGGGTCTATGGCTGCAGCCGTCAGGAGCCCGTGGTGGAGGTGCTGGGGTCGGGCGCCGTCATGGCTGTGGTCTGGAAGAAGGGCCTGCACAGCTACTATGACCCCTTCGTGCTCTCCGTGCAGCCCATGGCCTTCCAGGGTGAGGGGTTCAGAGGTCCTGGGGGAGAGGGAGGAGGTACGTGTGAGTGTGCCCTTTACTTCTTTGCCCAGTCGGGGGCAGGAGTTGAGGAAGGAGAAGGTTCTGGAAGCCACACCGCTCTCAAACCCTGACTTCCTCTTCCCTCCTCTGTATCTCATTTTCCCATCTTCCCTTCACTCCTCATCCTCCCACCTCCCTCTGCCCCTTCCTACTCAGTTTCCCCTCCCTCTTCTGGGCAGCCTCTCCCTGGTGTCTGTCCCCCTAAGTCCCTGCTGACCCTGCTGGGGCGCTGTCTGCCACTCGGGGCTTTGAGGCTGGGAGGTACCAGAACTGGGTCATGGGGCCTCCGACACAGGCTCTGGGGGAGGTGACCAGGGCAGCTGAGGAAACTCCTGCTCCCGTCCCTTGTCCACTCACTGTGTGACCTCAGCCGAGTAGCTCCTCCTCCCGAGCCTCGTCTTTGGAAAGGAGAATGATTCTCCCTCCCCTGCTTCCTTCCCTGAACTGTGAGCCTCCAACAGTTGAAAATACATTTGTTAAACTGTCGAGTGCAGTGCAACTAGAGTGCCAGCATTTTCTGAGCGCCTGGTACATGCCAGGGGTTTGAGCGTTTTATGTCCATCTAATCCGCTCATGTACCCTAAGAGGTATGCACTATTGTTGTCTCCATTTCACAGATGAGGAAACTGAGGCCCAGAGAGGTCAAGAGACTTGCTCAAGGTCCCACAGTCACACTCAACCACCATGCTTTACTGTCTAGTTGTGGTAGAGGTGGTGGCAGAGATGGTGGCAAGCGTGGTGTTGGGGGTGGTGGCAGGGATGGTGGCAGGGGTGGTGGCAGGGGTGGTGGCGGGGTGGTGGCAGGGGTGGTGGCAGGGCAGGGCTGCACCCTGTGTAACAGGCTGTTCTCCGGGCCCAGCCTGCGAGGTAAACCTGACGCTGGAGGGCCGACTGGACCTGCAGGGCGTCCTTAGCACTCCGTACTTCCCCAGCTACTACTCGCCCAGCACCCACTGCTCCTGGCACCTGACGGTGAGCCCCGTGCCCTGTCTGCCCTCCTGCCCACCTGCCCTCTGCCCAGAGCACTCCGTGGGATTCCTGTACCTCTGTTCTCCTGGGTAGTTGGCCCACCAGCTGGCCACACCCCCAGCCCTGTGACATGGGCGCTCCCTCTCAGGTGCCTTCTCTGGACTACGGCCTGGCCCTCTGGTTTGATGCCTACGCACTGCGGAGGAAGAAACACGACCTACCCTGTACTCAGGGCCAGTGGACGATCCAGAGCAGAAGGTACCCACCCCTACAGCCCTCTCCTCCTTCCCTGGGCCTCGTCCCCTCTCCCACAGATACTGCCCTTGGGAGTGCAAGTCCCGGATGTCAGAGAAGGCACAAGGAAGAGAGCAGAGGGCGAGGCTGGCATCAGGCCTGCTGCCCGACACCCTTCCTGCCACCCCAAAGGCCTCAGGCATGTGCTTGGTCATCAGACAGCTCTGATGCTAATCCCAGTTAGAGAGAGATGGTTGCTTCCCTTGGGTACCGCAGCCAGTGTGTCTGACACTCGGAATCCTTACATGAGGTGTTGCTCGAGTCAAGGACTCATCATTGGCTTAGTGTGCCTTTGCCTCTAAGCCCAAAAGTGCAAATGGATACTTGTCCTCCCTACCCGACTTCCCACTGTTGGCCAAGGTCAAGTGGCTTCATGGCTGAAAAGCTGCATAGCCAGGGACCAGGCACCACTTTTCCTGATCAGAATTCTTCCATAGGGGAATGCCCTGTATCACCCATATCCCCCTAGGGCACCCACCCTGTCACCTGTTCCTGCCCTTTGCCCTCTGGTAGTGAAGCCTCTGATGAAGAATGAGTTTCTCTGGGAGGTGGCTGGAGCCTGGGGTCAGGCAAAGTGAAGGGCGTCCCAGGGTCAGCTTAGGCCAGATCGGATCAGTAGCGTGAGGACTTGTAAATGCCACTGGGTCCAGCAGCAGGAGGCCACAGAATATCCTGACAGCTTCAAAGGAGCAGGGTTGGCAGGGAGTAGAGGGAAAGGAGACGGTGCAGATATGCTTTCGAGATGTTTGACTGGAGAGAGGAGAAGAAATGCAAGGTGGTTGCTGTGTGCCCGCGAGTCTATTCTGACTCATAGCAACACTATAAGAAGGAGTAGAACTGTCCCATAGGTTCCTAAGGGGTTTTCTCCTGTGGAGCCGCTGGTGGGTTTGAACCAGTACCTTTTGGTTAGCAGCCAAGAGCTTAAACCATTGTGCCACCAAGCCCGTTGCCATCAAGTCAATTCTGACTTCTAAAATGTAAAGGAGGGGGTGTATATATGTATATGTATGTATGTGTATATATATATGTTGTTGTCAGGTGCCATTGAATTGATTCTGACTCACAGCGAACCTATGTACAACAGAACAAAACACTGCCCGGTCCTGCGCCATCCTCACAATCCTTTTTATGCTTAAGCCCATCGTTGCGGCCACTGTGTCAATCCATCTCCTTGAGGGTCTTCCTCTTTTTCGCTGACCCTCTGCTTTACTGAGCATGATGTCCTTCTCCAGGGACTGATCCCTCCTGACAACATGTCCAAAGCATGTGAGATATACAAAATATGTGAGTCTCTATATTCAGTTGTTGAAAATATACGCAGCCAAACACACCAATTCAACAATTTCTACACGTACAATTCTTTGACTGATTACATTGATTACATTCTTCAAGTTGTACGGCAATTCTCACCCTCCTTTTCCTATCTGTTCCTCCTGTACTGACTTAAACTCACTTCCCCTCAAGCTTCCTGTCTAGCTTTTGCAGTTGCTGTTAACAATTTGATCCTGTATAGTAAGTTCTTTAAAAGAGCACAATCTCATGGCAGACATTCTTTACTAGTTTAACCCAGACTGTCGTTTGGTTTAAAGAGGGCTTCAGGGGATATTTTTGGTTTATAGTTTCAGGGTTAAAGATTATCTCAGGGCAGTAGTTTCAGTGGTTCATCCAGCTTCAGTGGCTCCATGAGAATTGAAAATCTGTTCCACATTTTACCCCTTTTGATTAGGGTTCTGCTTTAGAATTTTAGATCAAAACTTTCAGTAACGGTAGCCAGGCACCATCCAGTTCTTGTGGTCTCATGGCAAAGGAGGCAGTTGTTTGTGGAGGCAATCAACTATGCATTCCATTCCCTTCTTCTGTTCCTGACTCTTCTTCTTCCAGGAAGGGGATATTTAACACTGGAGAGATTCCATGTCTAAACCCTGTGTGGACGCACCAGTAGAGGGGACGAGGAAGGTTTAGGAACAGAGGTGATGATGATTAGAGAGGAGGAGAGTCAAGGGGTGGTGGAGTGGTAAGCATGGGAGGGGGAGCCTAAGGGACCCTCTGATGGCTCCACTGAAGGGGGGCAGGGCAGAGGTTTGGGGAGCAAGGAGGGATCTTGAAGTAGCCAATGCAGAGCCAGGGAGACCCTTCCCTACCTGGGATCCAGGGGGCAGAGGATCTTATCAGGAGATTGAAGGGAAGATTTTACACCAACTGAGGGTTGGGCCAAAGCACTCCCTCCCAACCCCAAGGCTCTGGGTGTCTAAGAAGCTGGGCTCCTAATAGTCAAGATTCTTGATTTCTTGGCTTCACAGATTTTGAGTTGCCAAGATTCCAGTATACTAAAATTGGAAGGTTCTAGGGATCTGGAATTCTTGGATTCTAGTGTTTGTGTCTGGAGTTCCTGGGTGGTACTAATAGTTAAGCACTCGGCTGCTAACCGAAAGGTTGGAGGTTTGAGTTCACCTACAGGCACCTCAGAAGAAAGTCCTGGCAATCTACTTCTGAAAAATCAGCCATTGAAAACCTTATGGAGCACTGTCTACTCTGACACATGTGAGGTCACCATGAGTCGGAACTGACTTGACGGCAGTTGGTACTGGTGGGGTTCACATCCACACTCACCGACACTTGTCCTTTGCTTGTCAGTTGATTCTATTCAAAAGGATCGATCAGACCAAAACGTGACAGGATTGGCAATGGTTGCTTGATGCATCACTCCTTTCCAGGGCTTCTGCAATTTATCAGGGACTATGCTTCAAAAGAAAAACAAGACTGATGGTGTGACTCCAGGCATTTGATGTTGATGTTGATTTCAGGCACTGTCTGGGGGGCTCTAGAAGGCATCTTGTCCCACTTGTCTTAGCATGTGGGCAGTACTTCTGGGTATGGCTGCCTGACCCTTCACAGATCTCCCTCGGTGCCCCCTTGCTACCTGCCTGAGGCCTGGCCAGTCTGAGGATGGCTTGGCCCACCCCTCTGCGTCAGTAGCTCACAGAATGACCTCGATATTGACCCATGATTCACAGTTCTGAGAATGATGATAACAATTTTTCCTGCCACCCTCCCAACCCACAGCTGAATCTGCTATCTCGGGAGGGTCTAGGAAGCAGAGCAAGGTGCCCTTGGTCGGACCTCCGCTGCGCTCACCCCCCATCTCCATTTGCCAGAGGCTAGGCCCTGCACCAGGGAATTAGGTTCATTGGCCCAACACACCCTGATGTAATGGCATCCTTCCCATTTCCTGGGGAAGGGTAGCGCGGCTCATTGGGGTCAGGCGGAGCCCAGATGGGTCCATAGTCAGGGCCTCTCCCACCCTCCACCCACCACACACAGTAGGACTTAAGATGGTACACAGCACACACCCTATGGGACGGCCTTCCTCCCCTCCTCGATGTGGCCAGGAGAGCTGTCCGGGCAATGGGGCTCTAGGGACGGCATGAGCCTCCCTTGGGTGATGACAGAGGGTGTTTGAATGTGGAACACAGATGTTGTTGTTAGGTGCCTTGGAGTTGGTTCTGACTCATAGCGACCCTGTGTACAACAGAACAAAACACTGCCCAGTCCTGCGCCATCCTCACAATCATTGCCATGCTTTAGCCCATTGTTGCAGCCACTGTATCAATCTATCTCGTTGAGGGTCTTCCTCTTTTCGCTGACCCTCTACTTTACCAAGCATGATGTCTTTCTCCAGGACTGATCCCTCCTCATAACATGTCCAAAGTATATGAGACATAGTCTTGTCATCCTTGCTTCTAAGGAGCATTCTGGTTATACTTCTTCCAAGATAGATTTGTTCATTCTTTTGGCAGTCCACGGTATATTCAATATTCTTCACCAACACCACAATTCAAAGGCGTCAATTCTTCTTTGGTCTTCCTTATTCATGGCCCAGCTTTCGCACACATATGAGACCACTGAAAACACCATGGCTTGGGTTAGGCGTACCTTAGTCTTCAAGGTGACATCTTTGCTTTTTGGCACTTTAAAGAGGTATTTTGAAGCAAATGTGCCCAAGGATGGGGAGAGTCTAATCAAAAAGGACAGTGCTGCAATGGTGGGACTTCAGGCACTGTGACAGATTCTAAAGAGTTTGGCGGGAGCTCTCCCCACTGCCTCTACGCACCACTAAACTGTAGAGTGTGGTCATCAAGCCCAACACTCACCCATTGTACAGGTGGGAAACTAAGGTCTAGAGAGTACAAAGGACTTGGCCACTTGTCTTTAGGCCTTTAAATGGTGGAGAGGGACTTCAGGAAGCAGCCAGGCAGTGGATGGGATGGGGAGGGTGGAGCCTAACGGGACCTGGTGTCCCCATCCCTTCCCTCTCTCATCCCAAGCCTTCCCCTGCCTCATTAGGGGTAGAGGATGTGCACAGAGAAGTCTGGCCAGCTGGTTCCTGCATGTGACTCTGGGCACACCCCTCCCTCATCTGTGAAAAAAGGGGGTTAGGCCAGCTCAGAGCCCCAACCTTTTATTTTTACCAGAAAGGTGTTGTCTCCCAAACAAATTGTATTCATTACTTCCTAATGAAATGCCGTTCCAAACCAGGCTGGTGAGGTGGGAAGAGCTTAAGTGTGACAGCCAGACAAAGCAGGGTTCAAATTCTGCCTCCTCTACTTCCTACTTCGGCAAGGACTTAACCTCTCCCAGCTTTGGGTTACTCATCTGAAAAATGGGGAGGAAACAGACCCTTTGCCCTGGCTTTCTGTGAAGACAGAACGATGCCATGGATGGAGAACATGGCGCATGCAGGCCTGGGTAAAGCGCAGCTCCATGTGGCATCAACACGGGTTCATAATTGGATCTGTGTGCCAGGTGGGCACTGAGCTGAGGGTTTACAATCTCGTTCAGCCCCACCACCACCCGGCAAGGAAGCAGGTGTTCTTAGTGCCTTCATAGACCCATGAGGAACCTGAGGCATGGAGAGGTAAGGTAATTTGCACAAGGCCACCAAGCTAGTAACTGAAGAAGGAGTTAAACCTGAGCAGTCTGATCCAGGCGCGCGCACGCGTGTGTGTGTGTGTGTGTGTGTGTGTGTGCATGGATGCACATATGTGTGCACGTATGTGCATGTGTTTGCTCTCTCCAAGACATTCCAGATCAATCCATTGGCCTCGTGGTGGGAGAACTGATGGTTCCTGGGGCTCTCTCGCCAGTTCAAGAGCACACTGGGAAGTCCCACCTCTACCTTCTAGACCTTCATTAAAGGTCCGGGGTCCTCAGGTGGGGAATCATGCCCCTCCCTCTGACTCCTGCCAAGGTCTGCATGTGGAAGGGGAGGCAGAGATGGGACTCGTAAACATCAAGCACTGGGCAGACCATTTCCTGGAGTTACTGCTGGCTGTGATAATGATCATCCTCTGTAGATGTTGGGAAATTCTTTGAACATGCATTTTTGGAAAATCTGCATGTGTGGGTGGCTTAGAGACGCAGGAGGCCTGGGGAACCAAAAAACCAAACCCATTGCCTTCAAGTCGATTCCAACTCATAGCGACCCTATGGGACAGAGTAGAACTGCCCCATAGGGCTTCCAAGGAGAGGCTGGTGGATTTGAAAGGCCAACCTTTCGGTTAGCAGCCGAGCTCCTAACCCACTGCACCACCAGGGCTCTGGAGGTCTGGGAAAGGGTCTAGATTTCAGACACAGAATTCGTAAGAGTTGGGGGGCAGTCCTCGGCCAGAATGGTCACTGACAGGGAGGAACAGAGGGTGCCGGTGCTGGGACAGGAAAGGCAGACCTGGGCTCCCTCCCCTGCTGGGCATCCTTCTCTGAGCCTTTCTGCCTTCCCTATCCTCCCTGCTTTCTACCAAGCTTCCCCGTGCCCACCTGTGCCCGGCTGAGGCTTCGTGATCTTTGAGTGGCGCAGAGGCGGTGGAGGGCCTTGGCCTCGTGAGAACCGGCCGCCCGCTGGCCGCTGGGTTTCTCAGAAGCCACTCAGCTGGGCGTCATTGCCGCCGCTTGCTCAGCGTTCCGGGAACCTGCCTCCCCTCCCACCAGCTTCCTCTCCTCTGACATCACTTCTGTAGGCTCTGCCCCACTGTCTCCACCTAGCTTGTGGGCACAAGCTGCTGGCCTGGGGGCCTGCCGGAGGCCCTGTGGCCTGGCCTGGCTGTGGGTGGTCCTTCTGCCCTCCAAGCCCTGGGGCAACCAGCACTGCTGGGCGAGCGTCAGGCCCGGTGCAGGGCACAGGCAGTGCAGAAGGCAGAGCCCCGCCATGGCTGCCCCCGTGAGCTCACAGCCCCACCACGTCAGCAGCCTGTTTTCAAAGAAGTCATCTTCTCATTTATTCCTTAAAACATCCTGTGAGGGAGGTATTATCACCTCCACTTTACAGATGTGGAAACTGAAGCTGGCTGAGGTTGAGCCATGTGCTCAGGGTCACACAGCGTCTCGAAGCCGAGACTGCGGCTCCAAGTCCAACACTCCAGCCACCATGTCACACACTGCTGTCCTCCCCTCTTTAATGCCTGTCTCCTCTGACTTTCTTTCCCATTTAACCTGCCCTTAAGAAAGGGCAGAAAGATTAGACAGGTCTATAAAGCAAACGATAGCACACGTGAGAAATGTGCTTCTTAATTCAATCATGTGTACGAGAGCAAATGGGCAGCACCCACCCAAAAGCAATGATGAGAAGGCAGGAAGGGTGAGGAAAAATGGACAGATGAAAATGGGGAACTCAGAGTGGGGAAGGGAGTGCTGACACATTGTGGGGATTGCAACCAATGTCACAAAACAATTTGTCTATAAATTGGTCAATGAGAAACTAATTTGGTCTGTAAACTTTCACCTAAAGCACACCTTAAAAAAGAAAAGAAAAAGAAAGGGCAGGAGTCCCTGGGGGGCACCAGTGGTTTGTGCTCTGCTACTATCCGAAATGGTGGTTCAAACCCATCCAGTGGTACTGCAGAAGAAAGGCCTGGCAATTTGCTTCTGTTTGGTTGTGGTTTTAGGAAACGGCATGCATGTGTACAAGTGTCCGCCCAGCCATCCATCCATCCATTCATCCACCCACCCACCCATCCATCCACCCAGGTTTTCTCGAATTCCTCCCTGTGTGGAGTTGCTAATATGCAAGAAGTTTGACACCCTGCTCACGTTATGGGTGAGGCAAGAAGGAAAAATCCCAAAGTCCAGAGGCGTGAAAGAGCAAGGCAGGCCACACAATGCAAAATGGCAGCTTTGGTCCCCGAGCGCTGCTACAGCTGAGAAGAGACGGTGGACTTGTAGGCTTCAGACCCCTGGAGTTTCCTGGGGCGGGGGAGCTGAGGAGGGATGGGGGAGTTGGAGAGCCAGAGGAGGCCTATCCTCCCTCTGAAGGTCCTGCAGTGGGAACCAGAAACTGAGATGTGCAAAGGGGCCAGGCTGGTGTGCAGTTCACTGCATGCAGAGGGTCAGTGTGGTTGGGACCCAGCTAAGAGGGGCGCGGCCCTGTCCAAGGTGGGCAGCCTCTGATTACCTCCAGCCAGTGCGGCCTGGACTGCTTATTTTTCAAGAGAAGCCAGAATCTACATTATAGTATGAATTTAGGCTGGAGACTAAATTAAGGAAAAATTTTTAGAATACTGCAAAGATTAAACAGATCATCTCTGAGTTGGGTGCAGCCTGGTCACTAGCTTGCAGCCGCTGCCTTGCACATGTCTGGCCCCTGCTAACTGAGAGGCCTGCCCCCCAGGGGTCCCCCCATTCCTGTCCCCACCCCTGCCCGCAGGCCCCAGGCCTCCGGGCAAGAGCTCAGGGCTGGCCAGGATGGGCAGGTTCCGGGTACCAAACAGACTTGTGGGAGGGTCACCGCCAGCCACAAGCTGATTCCAGAATTCTTTCCTGATGCCAATAGAAAGTCCACCTTTTTGGTAGTTGCTGGTGACTTAAGCGCCCCGGCCAAGGCTTGGGGTGACAGTGCAGCCCTCAAACACCTCTAGGTTGAAACGCTCCGATCTCCTCCAACCCCGGCTCTCTGTCTTCCCACACTCTCCCCACGACTTAGTGGGGACAATGCCTCAACGGTCCCTGAATCCTAGTGTGCTCAGGGAGGTACCTGGCTCCTTGTGTGCCCTGCCCAGGACTCCCCAGCCCCTAGCGCCCCTGTCTGCTTCCTGGGGCCATTCTCTGTAATGCCAATCCACCATAATGTTTGTTTATTCACTGTCGTTGTTTGCAGTCTGAGTCGATTCTGACTCATAGTGACCCTACAGGACAGAGTAGAACTACCCCATAGGGATTCCTAGGTTATAATCTTTACAGAAGCAGACTGCCACATCTTTCTCCTGTGGAACAGCTGGTGGGTTCGAGCCACTGACCTTATGGTTAGCAGCTGAGCACTTAACCACCGTACCACCAGGGCTCCTTTTATTCGCTTTGAAAGTAAGCAAACAAAACTTCTTCTAGTTCCTTAGTTTAAAAGGGCAAGAGGGGCCAGGCTTGCTCAGGGGCGCCCTCTGGTGGTGCCACCTCCCCATCTGGTCCTGGCTGGGGCTATGGCAGTCTTGGTACAGGGCGAAAAAACCAAGCCAAATCAGTTGCTGACCCATGGAGACCCCATGTGTTTCAGAATGGAATTATGCTCCATAGGGTTTTCAAGGCTGTGATCTTTCAGCAGTAGATTGCCAGGCCTTTCTTCCAAGGCACCTCTGGGTGGATTTGAACTGCCAACCTTTTGGCTAGTAACCAAGAGCCTAACCATGTGTGCCACCCAGGGGCTCCCAATGGTTCTCAAAAATTTTCATCTCAGGACTCCTTTACACTCTTAAAAATTATTGCTTGCTCTAAAGATCTATTGTTTACAGAAGTTCTATATGTCTATATTTAACATATTAGAAACGAAAACTGAGAAAATTGTAAAATATTTATTTAAAATAACAATAGTAAACCCATTAATTTGCACATAAATAACATACTTATGAAAAAAATAATTATGTGTTCCCAATCTAAAAACATTGAGAAGAAGATCATGTTTTATGTTTTTCCGAATGTCTTTACTATCTGGCTTACTAGATCACAACTGGGTCCTCATAGCTGCTCCTGCATTCAGTTATGGTATCACGTGGCACGTGGCCTCTGGAAAACCCCACTGTACACTTGTGAGAGGGTGAGCGTGAAAGGCAAATGACATCTGTGTATTAATAGGAAAATAGTTTTGACTTTGGACCCCGTGGGTAGGGCTGGTCCCACTCGGCTGTGGCCACACATGGAGAAGGCCACACGCATTCTCTTGGAGTGTGGCCACAGCTCATCAGCACTGCACTACCGATCTCGGCGGAGGGGCTGGTCTTTCCCTCATGTCCAGGGGCCCAGGGAGACCACCAGGGCTGTGGAGGCATCTCCGTAGGAGGGACACTGCCTGAATGGGAGTCAGCCATCCTCCACCGCACACCAAGCACAGTGAACCTCTTCCCAGAGAGTGGGCCTATCAAGAAAGGACTTTTGCCTCTACTGACACAGTGAAGCCCTTGTCAGATGCAGTAATTCTCCTTATTTTAAAACGGAGTTGAGTGGGGTTCAGAGAAGGACCCTGAGTTGCCAGAGATCTGGGAGTAGAATACAGATGTTGTTGAATCTTGTCCTGTGGGCACCGGGGAGCCACTGAATGTTTTAGAGCAGGGGAGGGACGTAGCCAGGGCATTTTCTACAAAGATGACTCTGGGAGTGAGAAATAACCAAGGAAGAAACCATGCTGTCCTGGACCAAGATAGGGGAGGTGGGGTGGGGGAGGGTTCAGCTCCTCTTCCCCGCTGCTGTGGCCTATGTGGCCCTGAGTCGGCCTCCGGTCACCCCCAGGCTGTGTGGCCTGCGGACCCTGCAGCCCTACGCTGAGAGAATCCCCGTGGTGGCCACCGCCGGCATCACCATCAACTTCACCTCCCAGACCTCCCTCACCGGGCCTGGCGTGCAGGTGCACTACGGCTTGTACAACCAGTCAGACCGTGAGTGTGGATAGACCAGGGGCACAGTGGGCACCCCCAAAACCCCTCAGCCCTTTCCCTGCCTTGTTGCCATCCCTGGAACCTCTGAGCGGGTTGTGGGCAGCTGCTTTTCAGGCTGAACAAAGGAGTGTGTCTGTGTGTGTATGTGTGTACACTTACGTGCATATACTCATGCAGCTATGTGTGTGCCCATGAGGCCACGTGTGTTCACCTGGTATACACACCCATACATGCCCATGTGTGTGTTGTGTGCGTGTCTTGACCTTGCACACATGTGCCCATAGCAGGTGTCTGGGGTACGTTGTCCATGCATGTGTGAGCACACAGGTCCACGCATGTCTTCATGGCACCCTCTCTGTCCCCATGGTCTCCCTGTGGCCTGCCAGCCTGCCCTGGAGAGTTCCTCTGCTCTGTGAACGGACTCTGTGTCCCCGTCTGTGACGGGATCAAGGACTGCCCCAACGGCCTGGATGAGAGAAACTGCGGTGAGCAGCCCCCACCCACCCCTCCGGCTGCTTGGCTTCCCTGTGTTGAGCTGAGCCCACATTGGGGCAGCCCCACCCTTTTGAGTAGAGACGCCCACCCAGTTCGGTTATCAGCACCCAGGCAGGGGGTTCTCTCCTGTGCCAAGATGGTAAATGGAAACAGAGTGGGAAAGTGTCCTCCCCAGGGCTGCCCTGTGGGGCAGTGGCGGAACAAGCTGGGACCCAGATCTCCTGACTCCCTGCTCAGGGCTCGTCCCTCTCCACCCCGTGCCCAGGCAGCCTTCCAAGACGGTGGAGAGGGTGGAGGTAGGACGTGGAGGGGGGCGCTGTTACACAGCAGCAGGCAGGCAGATTCAGGGCAGCTCTGGGAAGAAGTCTTTATCTCCTCCCCTTGAGTGGGGCCCTCACCCCTTCACTCCAAGGGCTCAAAATGGAGCTGCCAATTCCTACTGGAGCTGTCCTCACCACCGGCCTGCCTGAGAGAAGGGCTCAGAGTCCTGGGACCTAAGTGAGGACTGTCTCGGAGCAACACCTCTCCCTCTCTGAGTCCTGGTTTCTGGCCCCAGAGTCACCATGCAGGCTGCCCATTCCGGTCTGATCTCTCCATGCCCTCTTTTTAAAGTTTTAAATATGAGGGGACAGAAGCAGAAGGGAAGGGAGGTGTGCACCCCTCTGGGAAGATCCTATTGTGGTGCTAGGGAAGGTGCCTCATATTTAGAACCAGAACATCTGGCTTCAAGTTCAGGCTCAGCCAAGATACCTTGACAAGTCACTTCATCTCTGTTTCCATTCATGAAATGGGGTCTCTCACAGGTTGCTGTGAAGTCCAGGTGCAAAGTAGCTGAGAGGGATCTGTGGTCCATAAAGTGCAACACAGTACGCATTCCCCAGGCATTGGAAAGTCACAGCCGATTTCTCTAACTTCCTCCCCTGCCCCTTCCCTGTGTCCCCACAGTTTGCAGAGCCACATTCCAGTGCCAAGAGGACAGCACGTGCATCTCACTGTCCAGGGTCTGTGACCGGCAGCCTGACTGTCTCAACGGGAGTGACGAAGAGCAGTGCCAGGAAGGTAGGGTGGCATATGACCAGGTATCT